CGCGTATAATCAACCATGGGCTTGAGTCACGAAATGAAATGTGAGGTCATGCTTAAAGAACTTTCAAAATGAACTTTGAAGGTACAAAATAGAATAACAATAATAACTTTTTTATCCAAACTCGTAGTCAAAAAACTGACTTAACCCTTCTACCCTGGGTACCAGCAGATGGTTGGCTCACATTTCACTTGTTTATGTAATGGCCCAAGGTAGGGTTTTTCTCTCTCTCTCTCTCTCTCTTAGTCTGTTCACTGCCAGTTTGTTCTCTGAGGTGGCAGATTAAATTCCTACGCCCAGAGTGAAATTCTGGAAATTTGGATAAATCTATATAAATGGCAATGAGTACGAGTATTTATGGACCCAGGGAACCACCTCAAAAACAAGTTGATTTTTTTAGCGTCTCTTTATCATCCGCCAAACAGTTGAACATTCTAGGCGAACCCTAGTCTGTTTAACAGCCGTTTCCTGTGTCATCTCGCAAGGCTAAACTTGCGTGATCACACAGGAAATGGCTGTGAAACAGACTAGGTGTAATCATTAGTATATGTAATAGGACTACATGCTGTCCAACTCTATCTGCTGTAAGGTATTTTTCTCACTATCTTGCTCATTTCCTTGTTCACTTTCAACATCACAAGGTTTATGACCCGACATGGCTGAAATCACGGAGTTTACTTGAGTGAATTAAATCCAGTCGGTATTCATGATATCATGATCGATGCTACGATAAACCATTATGACTGGTCTCGACGGAAGCAGTTAATTTTGTTTCCCGTGAATCTCAAACATCGAGATTCGAGGGAAACAAAATTACCTTTTTATTGTGTGACCAGTTTTAGTAAGTGTTTATTATAGCCCACAAAGTGTTCAATGTAGGCTATGTCCAAGAAGTTTCTTGTACAGTTAACTTCCCAGCATGGTTCACTCTGCACCATCCACCTCATCTTGCCCATAAACAGAAGCATGATCTTCGCACATGGTGCGTAATAGTGCAAGTAAAAGCATTGCTGCCTCTAAATCTATCAGGGTCTTCGTGGCAAAGCGTCAGTATTTCCAAATAATAGTAATAGATGGATTATTGATGATAACATTAATAATGATGATGATGGTGATGATGATAATTTTTTGGTGTTGTGAATTAATCTCGAAAAGGAGGGGCCTCAGACTGAAACAGTTAACTCATACTCTTTTAAACCCTCGATTTTTTTTTATTTCATTTATTTTTTACAGCAACAAAATAGTTCGTTTTAATACAGTGAAACCCTTTATTGAGCGGTCAACTTCGGGACCTTCCCAAGTGGCTGCTTAATAGAGGGTGTCCGCTTGATAGCGATTATAAAAATTGTGCAATCTTTATTAATGATCGACATTCAATGGTTACTCTGTACTGTGATAAAGTTGCATGTTGTTAAAGAAGCTGTCCAGAGTTCAAATTCACTGCCTTTCATTATTAACTT